TATAATTAGAAAAGAAATCTTTAAAAGATTACTATTATTATAATAATAAGCTTTTTAATTATATTTTTCAAATAATTCAATTCAAAATTGTTTATTTTAAGCTGGAATAGCAGGTTCTTTTATATATTTTTCAAATATATAAATTATTATAGTATTACTAACTAATAATATCTAATATATATATTATTAATATTTGAAACCAGGTTTGAAATGCAACTTAAAAATTATTGCATAAATACATATTGATTTTAATGAGCTGAACATTTTAAAAAATTTTGCATCAAATTGATACCCAGAATATGTACATTTCGGATTAGAGGTTCAGTATTTTTTCTCAAGCTTGTATTTACATTTAAGTGAGCCTTTTTATTGGGTTTATTATACATGCTTTAAATGATAAGAAATTGACAAGAGTAAATAAATACGATAAATTTAACATTTGGGATAATTGATTTATTAGAATTTGTTAAGGCATCGGTTGTATAATAAACATGTATGTTCATTCTTGCAAATTAGAAATTGCCCTACAATAGTATCAAATTTGTCTCATTGAATAATGTAAATACCCTGGTAATGTTCAATATCTTTTCCCCGCAGTATCTAGCTCTATTGTCCTCATGATATTTAATGAGTTGTAACAGTTCGTTTTGGTCAGTTGGAGACAAGCCTTCTTCTGTACTTATTACGCGTGACGTTACTAATATCAATTAGAATCTATTCAATATAGTTACAAAAATGAGTGGAACTCGTAATAGATTCTCAAGACGTGTTCCCTTTCAGCAAAGGCACTACCAGTCATCACCTCACCCTCAACAAAACCAAAATGAGAATAGAGGTTCGTCTTTCGAGGCACAGAAATTTCTATCTAGGAATTATTCAATTCTATATTAATGCAAGTGTTCTACATAAAAGCTTCTACAAAAATTTCCCGAATCAATGCCTTACTTTCACGGATAAGAGACGAAAGTGACTCTGTGTACGCAAGAAGAACATCCTGTGTAACCCAGCTTTCAAATATACTGTCCGAGACTCTTACACCAGGTGAAAGTGCTCAGGTATTCGATGCGGCTACATATGGCATAGGAAATACACCTGGATTGGAGCTGGTATTTGAGGATACAAGGTAGTTAATTGAATAAAATGCCATTCTGAATTTGAGGCTCATCTTTCTTATGATTCTTGATTTGTATAGAGCTCCCGCGAATTTTAAACTTCTTGTTGCCAAATGCATTGCGAATATTGCTACGATATCAGAAAATAATCTGGAATCGTTCTTTCGTTGGATATTTGAGAGATTGCATGCTTCGGGATCGGGGGTCAAGGAGAAAGAGCGAGAGCGCAAATTATGGCTTTTGATTTCGTTGCGCGAGGTATCTATTTTATTGAATATTATGGATGATACGCTAAATGTTATAAAAACTAGAAGCTTAGCTCAATATTTTTTTTTAAATAAAGTCTATCACTCGCGTAACCCAGTCTAGCAACAACGCACAAAACATTGTTCCTTATAGTACAATGCAACAATTAATTCCGAACATTTTAAGTGAACTCGAGAATCTTCTTGACTCCGCTGAATGCGTTGATTACTTTTCAGGGTTATTGGAAGTACTAGAACGAATTGCGGATCGATATCCCACCGAATTTGAAAACCGATTTCAGGTATTCTACTTTTTTTTGATTTAATGAGACAGACTTGGAAATTAATAGACAGTTTTTTATTCGAATGCAATAGGATATAATCGATTTGCTTGTAGGATGGCATGTTGATACTACGGTACCAGAGTCATTACATAATTATATTTCGGGTAAGATGCAATTTATTTGTGTTTTTTGATTTTCTGTGATTTCTAAAGCTCAAGATATATTTATGTCGTACGATAGATTCGTTTCGAAGATTGAGGTCATTTTGGGCTCAAAATTTGAATTTTGCACACGAGTTATTGAGTCATTTTTTGGCTGATATGGAGGTTGTCGCTGGGATAACAGTATCTCAAGATGGGCCTCAAATCGATCAGAAAACACACACAGATGTGGATGGAGTGCCAAGCAATTTGAAAGGGTTACTAGGGTATGATTAGATTCACTATCACATAAGAAAAAAATGAAATTTATATATCAAAGCATTTTACTAGTTTTCTCTTTACAATTTGTAGCTGTTTCCATGCAGTAGCAGAAACGATTGGGCCTATTGTCCCTGCAAATTCTCAGGATGAGGTTCACGGTGTTGAGCTAAAAGAAAATGCATATCCGTATGATCGATTACGTGCATACATTGTTAAATTTCTTGTCGCCGTCGGAAAGCTTTATATGGATATTGATTTTTTTAATAAAGGTGAGTGTATTTTTTACGCCGCGTAATGTATTGAAAACTAGTAAATAAATTCTCACTTTTTTACTGTTAGGTAATCAGATAATACTAGCATTAAGCACACACCGTAAAGCAACCTTTGTGCAACAGCAACCTAAGTCAACAGAATTCTGGTTAATACAAATAAAATATGTATATCAAGTATCATATTCAAGTCAAAATATGGAAGAATGGTTTGATTCATATTTGCAGGTATGTTTATCACGCCTAGATTTAATTTATTTCTTTGGTTTATCTAACCAATTCGATTATTCAAAATAATGAAAGACGCTTGCACAGTGGTTCCCGTATGTGCACCCTGATGTTGCTATCACCTTAATGAACCCTGAATCTCCACTCATGAAACTACGACACCATTGTTCGTTCAATGCGCGTCTGTTTTCCGATTTTCTCGATATGTTTCGCTGCATATTACGAAACTCAAATTCAATAACAACAACACAAGATTCAAAACCTTCCGCTATTCAACTCACACATCAACTTGTATCAGAAATGAGAAGTATGTGCGAAATAATATTGAATAGCAACAGCACGTCTGATAAATCTGATGCTGAGATTCGTTGGCAATTAAAGTCTATGAATGTCATAATGTTCAATTATAAGAAATCGGATGAATTCCGCGAGGAATTTCAACATATATTTTCGGAAAATTATCATTCATCGAATGAAGTCTTCACATTTGACGCGAGAATTGCAACTTTTATTTTGGTGTTTGATATTGAACTTTTTGTTGATGTTGTGAGAAAGTGGTCGTATGAACATGAAGCATTTTGGATCTTGTTTTTGTTATTGGAGGGAATTGGGAAATATAAGAATTTGCATGGATTGGTGATGTATTCGGTGATAAAGGCAGCACATCAGATTTCTCGAAGGTATTTTTTTTTGTTTTAATTTACTTAATTCTCAATGCTTTTGGATTTAATTTCTGTTTCCCGCGTATATATAAATTATATTTTTTAATTGGACTTATTAGTCAAAAATATTTCATACAATTAAAAGAATCAATATCTTTTGAATCATCCACATTCGATACGATGCTTTTGATCATTGACTCAATATTTTCTTACAACAATAAACTTCCCATGAACCTAATCATGTTTTCAATTGAATGGCTGCGAGATATTTTTGAATTTTGTCGCAGCGACAAACAATCATTAAATGATAAAAAAAAAGACCATGTACAATTACAGATAGGGCAGGCTTTGTTATCCTTATTGCATTTATCTCGTAGGTTAACTTGATTTTTTTGTATTTTCCCTTTTCTGTTTTTTTTCGATCACACAATTATTATTTCTTTTTTATAGGTGTGATTCAAAATCCTGATGTGTCTGTCCAAATTCCAAAAGTCATTCAAGATTTTATTGATGTTTTTGGTTCATTAAATTTACCAAAAAAAATCTTTCCTCTTATCGCTGAGAGGTAAGATTGTTTTGTACGAATTATTGGCATGTAGAAGTTATTTTACAAAATATTTCTTTTCTTATAGGATAAACGATTCGAATCCTCAAATTCAAAAAGAGTTTCTAAAAGTATTTTATGAAATCAACCCTTTACTTGCTGTATTCAAGTACGATTATATCTCAGATCCTTCGCTGCAAATGTCAAGAGTAAGTTAAAACGCTTATACAGTCAGACTGCTAAATGCATAGTTGCATATGGCTGGGACTTAGTTCCTAAATACATATTTATGCAAACGTCTCTAAATGCATACTATACAATGATCCCGGTAGTATGCATTTAGAGGAGTGCGACTATATTATTGAACATCGACGACGATAAATCTCATAATTAATAATTTGATCATTTATAACCAGGCCAGTATTTGTGCATTACCAAACTTGGGTAATTTTCGACCTCAACATTTTCAAATAATCATGACTTACTTAGGAATGAAAGAGTTGCTATCATCATCGGCGGAAGAAATGGATTCAGCACATACGATGATTGATATGGAAAATGATGTGCAATGGCGACAACGGCTATTACATGCTTGTCAGTCGATGAATGTAAATAATAATACCACCTTCGACGAAGCATTGATGACATCAAAAGATCATAATAATAGATCGTCGTTGCATCATGGTCTTTATTTATTGCCGTTAAATTTTGGCTATTTTGGCGTTTTTAAACGAGATATTATTATCTTAATTCGGGGCTTTTTGACTTTTTCATTATTTAGATGAGATTTCAGGTCTCATTGATAATTCTGATGATTTGATTACTTTTTGGACGCTTTGGGAGACGGCACGTTATTGTGTTTTATCACGGCTGAGAACCCCTTTTGGCGGTCCTCAGCAGGTAATATAAAAATATTCATATTAAAAATGTTTTACATTGTTTCAATATATCTTAATCGAATATTAAAGAATCGTAAATTTAACAGACTTTCGACGCGTTTGAAAAGAAATTAAACGATTTTATGACGGGAAATCTTAATTTGACTTTAAACACCACTAACATAAGCGACGAGTCTTTGGAGCCAATGTATTTAATCAACAAAGTTCATTTCTATTCGTGAAAATAAATTCATCCAACATTATTTTTTATCATTAATCATACCATTATTAAAGATATACGAAGTTAAATCAACTTCACAACCTTTTGATCTTTATCAATTGTCTTGAGATGCAAATCTACAATGCAGCAGTCGGCACATCTCTCGGAAACCTACCGCAAGCACCTCGTGGCAGCATTATTTTTTTTCGCACGAATCGTAAGGTTTGCGATGATTGGTTCAGTCGCGTTCGAGCGACGATTGCAAAAGGTGCTGGAATGGTTGGTAATGATGCAATATTGATAACCCATGGGCTTCAAGTATGCAACCATTTTTATAGATTTTTCGTTGATGTCTTGGATTTTTAAATCAGTAAATTATATCTTAATCAACTTTTATTTAGTTTCTGGCAGATCGTGTGGCAAATATGAGACAAGGGATTATGAAGGAAAGAATTATTGCCTTTCAGGAAATGTTGATGATTATAGGTATGCACTATATCCGCATTTTTTTAATCTAATAAATATCGAATATTTTTTTTGATTGCTTGCATCAAAAATTAACAGTACAAGCTATGAGAAGATTGCATTCGGTGGATAGCATTCACGGATTACTAATATGGAGTAAAAAGATTTTTCACGTCGCTGATAAAGACCTAGGGAATTTGCCCGAAAATTCTTCATCATCTCAAATTAGCAACAAAAACGTGTCTCAAAAAATGCCCGGTACTAGTAGTCAAATGCAAAGCGAACAGCAAGGATCTCCACGTGAGTATGAATCCAAGAACAATAAGTATCTTATTATCGCATCAAATATAATAAAAAAAACCTTTGCTTGATACTATTTTATTAGATACACTTTTACAGCGTAATATCTTACACAGGAATCACACTAACATGCCTAACTATATGCATTTCGAATGGATGAACTGTGCACTATTGTTTGCCAAAGCGAAGTATGAGCAATCAGCAAAAGAATCGATCAATATTTTGAATCGTCTTTTAGGATATGATCATGCGGAAGATAAACTTACGTCACTCCAAGTTAAATTTTTAACTTCACAGGCAATCTATCCTAATTTCTCGATCTTTACCTTTTTTTTTCTTATATCAATTCTAACATTCTTATTACACATTCGTATGACGTTTTCCTAGATATTTGACTGTTATTGCCAAATGGATGACTTGAAATCACTATCACAATGGCTCTCACAGCAAAATAGCTTGGAAAATTTGTTGACTCCATTGCATCAGGTTAATCAACAATATCTCAAAGCGTTATCGCAGTATGGAAAGGAAGATAAAAGTTTTCTTGATGCGTGGGAGACGATAAAATCAACTGAACCGAAAATACCGGATCATTTTGAACTTCTACATGATGTTCCTTTCTTGTCTTTCTTGCATCATTTCCGTGCAGATTTAGCACAAATGGTGCGACAAGAAGATTCACAGATAGAGATCAACCATAGTTATGAACAATCTGCCTTTTCCATTATGAAACTGCCGATTCGCTTCGCCCTTAAAGAATCGCTTGACAGTGCGCTACCGATGTTGGTTATCGCTCAGAATAATAAATCAGATATAAAAGAGCACCAAAAGTTTGTCAATGAATTTCCCACATCATCGTCATCTTTTTCGCGTCATTTTGTTCAAGATTTGGGAATTTGGAGTCCGTTAAAGCGTCTTGTCGACAAAACTGTTGCTACTGACGATCTTTCCGAAATTAAAGATTCTTCGTTGATTCACTCCCCTCAAATAGATATCTCTAAACTACTTATAGCAAAGATTGCTAGGAAAACCGAAGTTCTTGATCTCGCAAGTAATGTTTGTCGATATACTGGTGATGATAGTAATAACATTCGGACGGAATATGTATTTGAACAAGCTAAAATATTGTATGCGCAAGGAAAACCTCAAAATGCTGTTCGTCATGTTTGTCAAATTCTAGAAAAAACTGAGCAAGAGTACAAAGATTTGTTGGAAAATCCGTTACACAATTTAACTTTACAACAAGTCTTTTTGAAGCTTGCCAAGTGGATTGGATTCTTACAAGGTCAATTACCCGGTGATCTTTCAAAAGGTATTGAAAATTATGCTATGAAATACCTTCAAACCACATCAGAACAAAAAATTGTTGATTCGATCTCTAATAATGATGCGAACATGAAAAATATCGAGTTGTGTTTGTGGAGTGCAGTTCAAGGAGAACATTCATATGGAAAAGCGTGGTACTCATATGCCACATATTTTTATAAGAAAGGATGGCGAATATTGGAAGAAATTCACAGTGGAAAAATGACACTTTCATTTCTTTGTGACTTGCGTCAAACTATCCAAAATTCTTTAATCGATGATTGGCAACAGACGAATATTCAGAATTCCGCAGATTATGATTCATTATTAAAGGTGAGTGGTGAGATTTATGTGTAATAGTATTTAATAAATTCGACAAATTATATCGATTGAAAGAGAGAGAGAGAGAGAGAGAGAGAGAGATTTATTTATTTACTATTTTTCAGATGATATTTCGCGTATTTATACGAAGATTTGGAACACGATCAATCTCGGACAACTTTGACGTGAAAGAGAGCGAGTTTCGTCCACTTGAACCTTGGATTTCTAATCAAACAAAAGAGGAAATTAAGCAATCATTTAATAAAATCACAAAAGAAATTCTTCAGGCTTTTAATATCGCAGCAGATGGATATTTTCAGTTTTTAAAGTCCATGAACAATGAAAATGCAAATAATGTTGGCGATCAAAAGGTATTTTCTTTAAATATGATTTTATTCTTATTTAGACACTAATCAATTATTATCGACAGGATCCATTGTCCAAGTCTATTAAGGAGGCGGACACAATGACGGCCACTTTGCGAATATTAAAGTTACTAGTAACGTACGGTTCTTACATGAAAGAATCCTTATCAGAAGCCTTCGAAGACACTGTAGTCACGAATTGGGAATTCATAATCCCACAATTATTCTCACGTCTAGATCACCCAGAATCATTTGTAAGACAGCAAATATGCAATCTTTTATGCAAAATTGCAACAAGTTCGCCACAGTCGATAGTCTATCATACGGTTGTTGCATTGAACTCGAACAACACCAACGAACAGACAAAACAATCTCTTCAGAGTATCGCCAGTAGTTTGGACGTCTCAAATGGAGTCTTGATCGCAGAAATTCGTCGTGTTATTCAAGAGTTACGACGAATTACGGTTCTCTGGGAGGAATTATGGTTGAATAAAATTGCTGGATTGCAACTTGACGTGAATAAAAGATTGCATAAGGTGGGAAAAGAGTTGGAAAGAATCAATGATAAATTGAATTTGACTTCCGATCAAAAAACCAAAATCATGAGAGAAAGTTACGATGCGATTATGAAACCGGTGATTTCATCTCTGGAACGGCTATATAATGTAACAAGCGCTGATCCGACTACGCCGCATGAGATATGGTTCGCAAAGTTGTTTGGGGAACGTATTCGTGAGGCTTTTGATCGATTACGATCTCCTCGTTCTTGGGATAATACTAAAGAAGGGTGGAATCTTTTCAAAAATGTAAGAAATAAAAGAAAATTTTCATTAAGATCTATTGTTTGCAATAAGATTATCTAATTTCTCCTTATAAAACAAAAGATACATAAGGATCTTACAAAAGAGTTACAGACAAATCGATCGTTGAAGTTGGCTGATGTTGCCCCGTATTTGGCCACTATCAAATCTTCAGCAATCACTATGCCTGGACTACCAACTAATGCTGAGCATATCACCATTCAATCGTTTGATCAAACTGTCTTTATTTTGCCGACAAAAACCAAACCAAAAAAGTTGTCTCTACTTGGATCAGACGGGCATCTTTATGGATATCTGTTCAAAGGACTCGAAGATCTTCATTTAGATGAGCGAATAATGCAGCTAATTCAAGTCACCAATAAATTGTATAAACGTGATAAACAAGCAAGTAGTCGAAATTTAAGTGCACGCCATTACGCTGTTATACCATTGGGCGAGCATTCGGGCATGATTCAATGGGTAGAAAACGCTACCCAGATGTTTTCGTTATATAAGAAATGGCAGCATCGCGAACATTTTGCACGAATGTTATTGAGCAACGCGGGCGAAAAGTCCCCTGCAATACCACAACGTCCTAGTGACATGTTTTTCGAGAAAATAGGAAAAGCCTTGAAAAAAGAAGGATTGCCGATCTCTACCTCGAGGCGAAACTGGCCTCATTCAATTCTCAAAACGGTTTTTCTTGAACTTTTATCTGAAACTCCTGCAGACCTTCTCGAAAAAGAATTATGGACATCATGCACAAGTTCCTCCGAATGGTGGCAAAAGAGTATATCATTGTCACGTTCATTAGCTGTCATGTCTGTCGTCGGATATATTATTGGCCTAGGAGATCGACATCTGGACAATATACTTATTGATTTCAATGCTGGAGAAGTTATTCATATTGATTATAATGTGTGTTTTGAAAAAGGACGAAAATTACGTGTTCCTGAAATTGTACCTTTCAGGCTCACACAAAATATCGAAAAAGCTCTTGGTATTACTGGTGTTGAAGGCGTTTTTCGGATTGCGTGTGAAACTGCACTTAAAGTAATGCGGAAAAACAAGGAGATGTTGATTATTTTGCTGGAGGCGTTTGTTTACGATCCTCTAGTCGATTGGCATCATGAAGTTACAATTGATCGGGATAAACAAATAATGGAACTTGAAGAACATTTAAGCCTGTTAACATCTAGAATTGGTGAGAATTTTTATTTTATGTTCGACTTTTTAATGGTATATTCAATAATTTTAATTTCGCGCGTTACCTCCCTTGCAATATAGCCGAATTAAAACATCCATTAGAAATGAAGCATAAACAATTGACAACTTTACTTTCTGAATTTATTACGTTATTCCAAATATTACCCGAACATCATTCGACTCCCCGAGATTTATATGAGGATTCGGCGAATCAATCAATAACCTTAGAAGATCCAGAAAAGAAAAATACACCAATAGCCGAAAATAGCGTGGAGATTGAGGGCTTAAAAACTACTTTGACACAAAGAGCTGCCGAATGTAGATTATGGCATGCACAACATGAAAGCTCAATTCAATCTATTCAAGTATGAATCTTTAATCATTTCTCTATTCAAATTTTATTCAAATAACTAATTCATTATATTTAGGGCAATCTCATTCAAGTAATCTACAATGAGGTCATTTCTTCTAGTAGTCAGTTTCGGGTTTCCATTTTCACACCCGTTATCAGCATCATTACAACTAATGAAGCACTTGCACAACAATGCTCACATACCGATCAAGAACTGTTTAACTGGGTTACAGAACGCAATAACAGCTACACGCTGTGCATCGAGCATTTGCAATACTATCGCGCGTTGACTGCCCCGGTGGTTCCAATTTTAATGGCTCAAGATTATTATTCCAAATGGCCGCAACTTTTAGCGCCTTTGCTTGAATCTAACTTACAAAGAGATGGCTTTGAGACAGTGTTTCAAACAGTACAGCGCGAAGTTCAAATTGATTCCGAGTTAATTGAAATTAGGGAACGCCTTAAGGCTTCTTGTGAGGATATTACGCGTCAAGGAGTATCTATTGGCGAATCATTTAATCTGGTTTCAGTGAATATGATGACTGAGAATGAACCAGAACAAAGTGCACTTTTAGAAACGTTTTTTCATCAGATTGCGCAGGCGCAAGACGAAGATGGTTCATCATCCCTCGGAATATATGGATTTATCTCGTTCCTTTCACAATTAAAACAAGATTTGGATAACAATGATAATGAAAAAGAAGTCCTTAAAAATCTTGGATTCAATGATACTCTCCAGACAGCAATCTCAAATGCTCTCTTTAGCGAATTATTTAACGATCCAAAGTTTATCACCAATTATGTTGCTTTCTTTGCTTTGTACAACATCCTTTATATGGCCACAGGTTATTCTTTGATTCGAATCGATTTTTGAACGAAATAAAACCAAGGAATAACACGAAATTACATTTTAATTATTAGTGACTACGCCCAAGGATGAATTAATTCCACGAATATACTCGATAGTCGGCGAATATCTACAACTGATAAAAATGTTTTACACTCTTCAAGCAAGTTTCGAAAGTGTTCTCTTGCCTAGAATTTTCGAGATTTTAAAAATTATGCCTATTGCCTTCCAACCGTACGTGGATATTTTGTACGACCTATCCACCGACACATTTAATTATTGGGAAATGAAGCATCCAGAAGCGCATTCTGTTGTTGCTAATATGGTATGTGCTATCTAATGGTTTTAAATTATCTAGCGTATTAAATGAAAATTGACTATATATATTTTCTTAAAAAAACGTATATAGATACAAACGTTCTCACAAATTCGTGCTAGTGTTCAGCAGGAGGATAATCTTTCAACTGAAATTAGCAATGTGATTTCTGTTTTTGACGAGATGTTCAAGGAACTAGAAATACAAATTTGCCATATCCAGGTAAGTAAACAAGTTTGACGGTGGTTTTTACTTTTTGCTTAGGAGCAAGGTTACTGATCCTTCTTTATCATCGTTAGACTCTATTCAATGAGCCATTGCCATTCCCAGAGGATCAAAAATGTTTCAAAAATGAATATATTCTCGACGATTTCACCGTACATAAATTTAATGTATAATTTATATATTTTTCTGTTAGTGTATCGTTTGCTTTAATATCTATATATAACCAGAATATTTATTCCATTCTTAATTAGATTATAGCCAATGTTCTGTTGGGATGCCAAGATTATTTTAAGGAAAATTTTCAGTCACATATTTCCCCTAATACGTGGCTTTCGTCAATTGCCATCTCACAAATCTTCGTTGCCAATTCAGACTCACTTTCCAGACTTCGTCAAATAGTACAATGGTGTATGTCCGACTTGTTTATTCCGACTCTGCAGACACTTCTATCCACTACCCTTAATCACTTTAAGGGGCTTGTTGCGTCGGATAATTTGCCAAAGGGCGCAAAAGGGAATGATGACGATGTTGAAAACGCTTCATCTTCAACTCAAGAGTTGGTACCTGGTGATGGTAGTTTCTGGAGAGAGAATTTGGATAGCATGAAAGAAAAAATTAAAAAATATATGTTTTTGGGGAGTAAAATAAATTTATTGAATTTGGTAAGTACTTAAATAATTTTTTTTATCTCACTTATTTTAAGGCTAAATGATTTTTCATATTAGATAAATACACGAAAAACGCAAATTGAAATTGAAGCACAACAGCGTAAAATGGAATTAATGAGATTCGAATGGATCAATCAAAAATATCTCGGTGGAAGCGCTTTGGTTCACACACAGGTATTTGTAAATAATAATTATTAATCTCGTATTAGCTGTAATCTGCTTTAATTTATTCATATGAAGGTGACGAAGATGACAATGATGATCATATCCAATAGATTTTAGAAAACTTTACTCGTGATGTGAATAAATTCATGCAACTCGAACTACTGCTTCAAAAAATAATTGCCAATTATCAAGAAATTCAATCTGAAGCCTCCAAGCAAATATCGGCTTACTCGAGTACATCAACTACAGCTGCATCGAACGAAGTGGTGTTGCAGTCCTTTGGCGATGCGATTGCAAATCAGCAAATTCTATTTGCTCAGGAGCTTCAACGTGTATGTATTGATATTATGCTGTTTAAAAATTAGAAGGTTGTTTAAATATTTAAACAACAGGTTATAATAATAATAATAATAATTCTTTTTTTCTTGATCTATCAACTTGATTTTCTTTACAGATTAAACACGTTATCGCACTCTGTAATTCGTTGATACATTTAGAAACTTTTCGTAACGTGTCTGAAAAGACTAAAGCTATGGATACTGATACTCTAAATCTTGTTCGTATGTATGAGATTGCAGTGATGGGGTGAGTGTCATAATCATGCATTGTATCTATGAGCAATTATTTTCGAAGCAATAATTAATTTAACATATTAAAGAACCGATGGTGAAAAGGAGGAAGCACATTCTGGGCAATTTTCGCAGAACAAGGTAAATGAATAAATAATTTCTAACGTGACCAGATATAGCTAGGTATTAACTCTCGCGCTATTGTTAATATCGTATGCAGGCTTTGAATTTTTCCGACACAGAACATCCGCAAAAACTTCAAAATCTTGCTAAGGAATTCCATGATGCGTTTGACGAATTTCGAGTACTAATGATAGAATTAGTGCCATTGATTGAGCTTGTTACGAGTATCGACTCGGATGCCGAGGAAACTATCAAAGAAGCAAGACTGAAAGCAAAGGTATTTAGCCTTTTCTTCAATAAGGAGGTAGCAATCAATTATTTAAATAAAATTTTATGGTTGAAAGGAATCACTTGGTAGCTGGTCGAAGCTTGATGCTGAAAGTGATAGTGTCATGAATTCTGCGCTGGCTCTTTTGGATGAAAATTTTCGTGCTGGTGGCGAAGGAGGACTTTTATTGAAAGCTGCAACGCAGAGTGAAACTGCTAGCACGCCTACTATAGAATCGGTTTCGGTGTCTGATAGATTACACAGTGAAAGCGTAAATATATTGATTTTTTTCATTTGTTTACGAGTTTACTTGTCTTTTGACCCGTTTATTTTGAATTTTTTAGATAAGAGCTTTATCAGAAATTAAAGATATTTTATCACATCTGTTTAAGCTTCTCTCGAGCCTTGGAAACCTCGATTTGGAAAATGCGCAACATGATTCAGGGGATCAAATTGGGGTTACTGAAAATCCTGAACTCAAAGATCTCAATATAGACAACATAATACAAAATAATTTATTGAATAATCATAATAGTAATAATAATCATAATAGTAATAATAATCATAATGATAATAATAATAATAATAATAATAATAATAATAATAATAATAATAATAATAATAATAATAATAATAATAAT